GTCATCAATCCTACATAGGCTGCGTCGGTCAAGGAAGCGCTGGTGGACGGCGCGACCATGGAAATTCTGATGAAGCAACAGATAAAAATAGCTATCGCTTTTTTCTCGAATTTTCAAGATCGAAGAAAAGAATTTTCCTGTTTGTGCTACAATACCCGAATCCGATATATGGCTTCTGGTATCCTAACATTGTCTTGCAACTAGTCTCGCATTTAGATCGCCTAGGGTGATGGCGTAGGCCTCTACTAGATCTTCCAAGCCTTGGAAAGTACAACTCCACTATGCCACACCCGACATCCGAACCACTCTCGCTATTGAACAGGCAAATAAACTTTAAACCCTTTTTATCGCGGTCCAGAACTGCGTCACTGCCCGTCCCATCAGAAAGCTTTCTCAGTCCTACAACACAAAGGGAGAGCCACTTACCATAGGTAAACTTCAGCAACGTCTCCGGCTGTTCAGCGTACAGGCTGTCAATGTTCTTCCTTGACGTATGGTCTACATCGAACCCGAGCAAATCTGCCAGCTGCAGTACTTCATCTGTCGAGAGCTGAAGAGCGGAGTAAGTACCCCATTTCAGCGCTGTGCACACGTCAGCTCGAGCTCGGCGGTCAGCAGAATACCAAGATACTATGGATGTAAATGTTCAAGAAAAGAGGTACAGTGACATACGCCCAAGATTGATCCATATTCCACCTGGCTTCAGCAGCCGATGAATGTTGCTCAGAAAGTCGATCACGTTCTCGGACATGTCGATGAAGAACAGCGTGACGATGGCATCAAACTCACCGCCCTGGGGGAACATCTCCAAAAAATCGCCCTCAACGAGCTTGACAGCTTTGTTCGGCCAGTGGTCCGGCACCGTTATAACGGAGTAGCGCGACGAAGGATTAGCCTGGTGTGTCCACTTGGTCACGAAGGGCTGCAGGGTGTGCTGGTGAAGCGCGGTTGTGTGATTGATCAGTAGATTGTAGGTAAGAATGGAGCCATAGTCTAGCTCGTTGGCTGTGACGTCGTACCCTGCTCCGTTGTGAGCTCAGGCCTTCAAGCCAATTAAGTAAGATGGACGCACCGAGATCAGCTATATCGCTTGCCAACCTACCAGTACCGGATCCGGGTACAAGTATCCTTTTTCCTGTCCCGTTTCGGCCCAAATGTTGCTCAAGTCCACCTAGGATAGCTGGAAATACGGCCTGTCTCTCCTTTGCACCCTGCGTGCTCCAGTCCCGCGAAAGATGTCCCATTGCCAAGTCCACAACTCCAAATTCCGCTTTTCCTCTATTCTCCAGCGCTTGCAGGCCGGTTCGATAATCCTCCCTCGCGGCCTGGGCAATTTTTCCCAAGAATCGGGCATTTGTCTCGATTCCCTTCCTCGATTTCTTGAAGTGTGCATTGTAGCCAAGCTTGTCGCTTATCGCTTTCTGCGCAGGCGCCTGCTTGGAATACCGCGCATGCTTTCGCTGAAGCACTTGCTCAGCCAGAAATGGGTACTGCTCAAAGGAGTAAATACAATGCGCCAATCCATCGGGAATGGAGGACTTTTTCTCCTTTTTCGTGCCTCGAGGTTCGACGAAAGCGTCGAGCTCTGTCTCAGGGATTGGCGCTGGGGCGGAAAAGCGCCAAGAGATGAGCTCGCCGTGAAGGACTTGAACGCACTCCGAAAGGGAGGAAAAGATATCTTCTATATCGGTCCATGAGGCGGGGCCACGGATGGCGAAGTAGAAAGGGAAGATGAAGCAGAGGAGCAAGGCAAGGAATTGGGACAGGTAGATCGAGGTACGCATTGTCGTGTATGCGGCTTCGCGATGGATGTAGGTGAGGACTTTCGTTCACTGTTCACTGTTCACTGTTCACTTCGGTGGCAAAGTGTGCAAATACGGAAAGGAAAGGCAAGACAAGCGGATGATACATTATCGGGAAGGGTGGTGTAGTGGTGGGGTCCGCTATGCATAGGTAGGCAGTGACCGATCTTGAGCATGCTGGCCAGGAGCATTATTATACCATGCGCATTAAGCTGACTTTCCAAGCTGTCATTCTTAATTGCTAAAATTATCGCGACTTTTTCTCTTTCATTCCTCGCAAAATGCTAACCCCAGGTCGTCCGACAATGTTTTTCTACACAATCGCTGTCCTCGCCTTCGTTGGCCTCGGTGTTTCCAACAGCGCCCATCTTTCACATACGGATCAGAAGGACGGCGTGCAAGCGCAAAAGTGCAGCAAGATGCTGACACGCAAAGAATGGCGGACGTTGACGCATAGGGAAAAATCTGAGTGGGTGGGAGCTGTCAAGGTGCGCCGTTCCTCCTCCACCCGGGCCTAGGCATATATTCGTTGCTAATTATGTTCGTAGTGCCTAGCAAGCATACGACACGAGCGGCTTTCCTTCACCAAAGACCAGAGAGTGCTCAAGGGGAAAAGAAGTCTTTACGATGACTTCTCGTACTCACACGCATCAGTCGAGCAGAGCGCACATGGGAACGCCTACTTTCTGCCATGGCGTGCGTGCCGCCCCCTCATCGTGTCTCTAAGCACAAGCTGACATGCGTGCAGATCGCTGGTTCACCTACTTATTCGACACCTCCCTCCGCCACACTTGCGGGTATTCCGGGCCGACACCTTACTGGGACTGGTCGCGCGATCACGCAGACCTTTTTGGCTCGTCGGTTTTTGAGGACTCACCCGAGTATGGGCTGGGTGGCACGGGGGATTGCAATTCCTCCCCCGAGGCCGACTGCACCGTTACCACGGGTGCTTTCGCTCCACCCAATGGAAACTTCACGCTTGCCTGGCCGATGCCGCACCATCTGCGGAGGAACCTGACGCTCATCACCGGTTGGTTTCCCCATGAACTGCCACAGAACCGTACCCTCGGCCCAGACTTTGTGCGCAACTCCATCGAAAAATCCACAGGCGACTACTTCAGGTTTCAGCACGCAATGGAGCTAATGCATAACCATGTGCACAACTTCGTTGGGGGCGACTTGGCGGGCGACTGCCCAAAGGCCCTGCCGGACGAGGATTGCCAGGGCATGGCAATCACCTTTACGCCCAATGACCCGCTCTTCTGGCTGCACCATGCACAGATGGACCGTTTATGGAATAAGGTGCGTTTTTATGTTCTTTTGCTACCGTCTTGCACCATATGTCTCATCCGGCCCCGAGTACAGAAAATGGTGGAACAGCATGACTGATATGATGTGTACAGTGGCAGCGCTACCACCCATCCAACTTTGCCGCCTTTTCCGGCATGCCCTTCACCGAGCACAATATGACCAGCTCAGGCTACGACCTTGACGCGAGTGCAGATCATCAGATGCCCTTTGACGTTCACAGTGTGCCCATGACGCCGAGAAAGGTCTTTGATACGGAGGGCTGGCCTTTGTGTTATCGTTATGTAGACGACGAGTGATGGGTTCCCTTGTACCAAAGTCAAATTCATTCGAGTTACTTTTACATCTACCTTGACTGCCTAATGGCCGCTTCACTGTAGGAAATATGGCTCTTGGCATATCATTACATACTCTCTTCCGCGGACCCCAAACAAGAGTCATCTATTCCGGCACGAAGAATGCGTCTTTACATTCTGATGCTCTCTCTTTCCCTGTGCCAAATATCCGCCATATCATTTGCTGCTTTCCTTATATCTCTCGTACATTTCAGGCGTCCATTCCTTATGTTGACTCTCCATCCAATCATAGACCTGCCTCCAGTCCCGGCAGGTATGCACAGTTCCTACGCCGGGAGCAACTTTGTCCCCATTTGCCAATGTCATGCTTGTACCGCCCGACTCCAGCGTTGTGTCGGCGGCACAGAGAATGCCTTGCCGTAGATAATGAAAGCAGTGCCCGGTATGGTCCGACCCATCGTCCCCGTTGACGAGTACCGCGCGTATATGGTTAAGGCAGTGCAACTGGTGCCACATTGACACGTCAAATGCCAAGCGCTCTTCCCCGAGAAAAGCGAAACCCTTTCCGGGTGGGCGAATTGCATTCCATTCAGCCGTGGCCGTGATGCCTTCCATCCCATAGTGGGAGGGGTCGTCGCGGAAGGCTGCCTGGATGGTGCGGACCTTGATGGGAAGCTCCCGAGGTCGGTCGCCAGCGAGGTATGCTGCTGCGTGTTAGCTATGGGTTCGGAGAGAATCTGGTATATATCGCACTGTATTGCCGCGTTCCTCGCCTCAATATGTTGAGGGAGAAGACGAGAGCGCCCAAGTTGAGGACGAGGGATGCGCCCAGCACTGCGAGCAGGCCGAGCGAGGAACCCCGTAGTCCGGCTGCCAGGGACTTGGGGAACATTTTGCTGTGCAAAGGTAGGCGGGTTCGTCAAGGGCAGCAGATGGAGATGAAATGTTGCTCAGCTTAGAAAGCGTGCTACAAGTAACAGGTCAACATATCAATGGCCGTATCGGCCTGAGCTTGGGCAGCCACGTCAGCAGATTCCCCAAAAACGAGGAGAGAGGAAACGCGAATGCCGAGATGCTCTCTTCATCAGAGCCTTCAGTCATCGGTCTCATCGATGCCTGTAGTCCTTCGACCTGAGCGTAGATCAGTGCTGTCGGACCCCAACTCGCGCCATATTGCGAGAAACTCGCGCCATATTGCGATAATCCTTAGCGAGATGGCGATTATGTATCAGAACATGCATTGCTTAATGTTTCCCAATCCCGCAACGGTCAAGCAAAAGTCCGGCAGTTCGAATGCCAAGAAGCAGAGAGACACACATAGGCCTACCGACGGCTGAAAGTGGATCGAAAGCGAGATCATCCTCTCAGATTGGGTGCCATTTAAGTTCTGATTCGTGCAGATCCGTAACGCTAATGCAAAGATCGGAATGGTCGGCACGTCGGATGGCGGATCGCGCACTAGCGCTGCAACTACAACGTCGTCTATGATGAAGCATTGCATACGATACACATGCTGTGCTCCCTCCTTCGATACATGATATATAACAACGCATGAAACATACACTGCCTTCTCTTAAGTAATCTACGTTACGTAGTAAATGACGTATGAAACATAAATTATGATAATCTATATGTACCGTATCGCTAGGAAAACATGCAGAACTCCTCTATCTAAAGTACATATAGCATAAGCAATAAATTAAGATCTATATTACTTTCTGTCTAAATTGCGTAGAGTATACCGAATGAAACATGCATTTGCTTGTTTCTCTTTAGTCTACTCCTTACAAAAGATCATGTAGTCATTTCACTCACTGGCTCGTAAAGCGAAGAACATGGCTGTTCTTCTTAAGATCGCGAAATACATAAATTCTCAAGGACCTGGCGAGCATGAATAGTTTTTCTCATCTATGAATTATTTCATTACCTACCCAACTAAAGCATTCCCAACCCCAAATTTTGACAATGCATTTCACCGTCGCCCTGCTCAGCCTCAGCCTGAGTATTTTCTCTGCCCAAGCCGCAGCGGTTCCCACCGACGGTTTGGTTCTCCGTACTGAAGATCCAGCTAGTCATGCCCATCGCTACCGTCTAG